GATGGCCGTGTCTTGGTTTGGTGGTTGCCAGAACAGTACTTGCCTGAATGCATTGTACCAAGTGTAAAGTTTGGTGGAAGGGGGATTATGGTGTGGGTTTTTCTTCCAAGGGTTGGGCTTGGCTCCTTAGTTCCGGTGAAGGGACCTCTTAAGGCATCAGCATACCAAGACATTTTGGACAATTTCATGCTCCCAACTTTATGGGAACAGTTTGGGATGGCTGCATCCTGTTCCAACATGACTTGGGGTGGAGGAACATGACTGGACTGCAAGGAGTCCCAACCTCAACCCGCTAGAACACCTCTGAAATAAATTAGAGCAGAGACTTTAAAGTCTTTAAAGATCTTTCAAAATGGTGTACCATGATATTATCATCTCACTTTTAGCTTTAACAACTTTAAGCAAGCAAGACAACCACAAAATGTAACTAAAATAGTTTTATTGACATGTTTTTTGTATACACAACATTATAAAAGTTCTATATAAAGACACATATATGATTTTTTTATATAATAAAATAAAAATACATGAGGAAAATTGTTATGAAAATTATCACTGTCTGTTAAATAATTTTGCTTTTACCCGTTTTGACTGTAGAACAAAAACTTGTACAGATACAAAATCAATAAAATACTTGTAGAAAATATCCATTTGCTTAACATGTCTTGTCAACTCTGATAGATTGGTTTCTGAATGCTTAAGCTACTAATAATCCAAAAATAACATTTTTAAAAATTTTACTATTTAGGTGTAAATACATAATATTATTTGATTACAGGTAGGTGTTGTTACTTAGCATATCATTGCAGATGAAACATTATACAGATCACACAGCTAGCTGAATTGATGAGGTCAGTTGATTAACCATTTTGCCTAAGCACAGAGCATTGCATTACAACCATGTTTTTTTTCCCCATTTTTGAAAATGATTAATTCAGGTTAGTTATGATCATTTGTAAGTGTTGTGGTAATTTTCACTCATACCTAAGCATGTAGACAAGCATGTGCTCGTTCAACCTCTTACACGTACAGCTGTGCCCCATTTTTTCTTTTTTCTACATTCTAAATCTTTATGATAACATGGAGCACCATGATGGCACCACCATTGTAGCAGCTCAAAGTGGCTACAGCAGGTGGGGAGAAGATGATATATATGATAAATCTCCTCACCGCTTGCTTTAAGCCTTTGGTTGCTGTACTACACAAAGTTGCAGGGCGGTTGTACAGCAGCCCCATTCACTTGAATAGGTCAACATTGGCAGGCACTACACCTGGCTGGAGTCACAGGGCATATTATTCTTGTTGCGTGTACACCTCTGGCCACTGCAGTGAAAGAGCCCTTATTTTCTAGAGCCCCTTATAATAGTTGCTTTCTCTGTTATAGTTGGTGTTATGCCCTTGATGACATCAGTGCACTGCAGTTCAGATTTTGTGTGTGCTTCACTTGGAACATTGAAATGCACTGAATGAAATTCACCGAGCTAAACTAAATGGAAGATAATAAAAGAGAGGGGACCACTGTAACTACACCATAAATCAGAGCTCTTCTCTGTCTCTGTCCCTTGCAGATGTTTCTGGCACCCTTCCAGTCTGATTAAGGCAAGATACAGAGAAGTGGAGTGCAGTTTGTATCACTTCCCTGAGGCTTACAGCCAGAGCTAGAGAATCCATTCTGGAAAATGCGGATGCTTGCTTGCTACACCAGGGCCAGCAATGGCTCCCTCATATTAAAAGATAGTCCCACACACACACTTCTTCTCTATGAGGCTCCACTGTTCTGCAGATGGTGGGTAGGCAAACTGAGGGTGCGATCTACAAGTCACCTGGCCATGATCAACTGGTAGATCGCAATTGACAGGTTGCTGGCTCCTGCTGTAGATAAATTCCTGCTATATTGTTGATGGAGAAGATGGTGATGGTATTGATGCTATGTGAAAGGATAGAAATGTGCTATATCTGGGGAGTAAAGATCTGCCATGCCATCTCCTAACACAGTAAAATGTTGATATGCATGCAGTACACATATCTTCAAAATCTCTGCTGCTGATTTCCACAAACCTAACTAAGCCTGATAGAACATTCATGGCTACATTTTAATACGTTACACAGGATATTGTGGAAAACCAAGGGAAAATAATATTTCCTATTTTTGCATATGACTTTTTAAAAACATACCCTAGTATTTTAAAAAAGCAGACTCAGACATCGAACACAGCCCCATGGTCAATGGAAATATGAAAATGTGCCTGCTTGCAGTAGACATAGCCACTAAGTTCCAAGTACTTGTAAAATCTGCCTTTCAATTGTTTTGCAACACATAACAAAATGAAAAGTTATTACAAATATGTTTTATATCATATTGTTTCTTTCTTCACTGGCACTGTTTACACTGGAAAATAAAAGGTACATACCGCCAAAATGTATTTAAAGTTTTGGATAGGATAGAGAAAGATTGTAATTCCCTTCAGGATTCTAATCTTATCTAGGGGTCTGTTGGAGAGATTTTCCCCACTTACTGCCCCAGCGAGAATGGTTTTACCAGACAGGAAGTAAGGAAAAAAAAAATACAACAGGGACACACACCAATAAAAAGCTGACAGGTTTGGTAATATTCCCTGACTGTCTGTGTTGCTGAAAAACATTTTTCCTTCAAGTGAAGACACACCTCTTGAACTAAAGTTCAAAAACAGTTAAAAATGAACAGTTCTATTCCTTCCATACTCGATCCAAAACTAACAAAAAAAAAATTCTGGAAATAATTTAACAATTTTTTTTTTTTAAAGTACAGAACTAAGGGCTTTGACAGTCCATTAATTTCAATTGGCAAATGTACTGGAACATGGATAAAGTCATGCAGGCACAACTTTTTCAGATTGCACCACAAGAAACTGTATGATACTGTAATGAACAATTATGGACTCTACGTCTTGCAAGGGCAATACTATCACATACGGTGCAGTAAATGGTCAAGGAACTTGCCTTTCTAGCACCATGTCCCAATATGAGCCAGCTCTAAAGCTTATTTCACTTTATTTTAATTGCTGGAATAGACAAAGAAAAAAAGTTTTTAAAGCCTAACTCCAGACACACAGCTAAATAAACAGATGATATACATGTATGAAAACTGTTCTACCTGCCAAAGCATTTGTACTTCTTTCCATCCACTCCTGAGATTTGCACACCCCTGCCACAAAACATGGCCCTGTCTGGCAAGATGAAAGACCTGAAGTTTCTCTGCTGCTATTGGTTAATACATATAGACCATGCTTTCCCGCAAGCCTAGGCTATAACTGGACAGTGAAAATAGAACAGCACACCTCCTATCAGCATATAGTACATGTAGCACAACTGACTGGTACCCTTGCATTGCTTCTCTCTCAGCTCAGAGAGTTTTTCTGAACTCTGCTCTGTATTAAATACCAACCTTACCTTCAGTATTCCACAGTTGTACAGGCTCCTTTCCTGTACTGAATTTGCTTGATTTGATTTTACTACACACTGTAAGTTTACAGTGTGAATTACAAGCTGAAATAAGTCAGAAAATGTCTACTTTAAATCCTGGCTGGAGGACATCGAGCATCATCTAGCTGTTTCCTCCTCAGCATTGCTTTATCTTGCCCACCCTTTTTATTTTTTTCAATCATGGGGGCTAATAATTACATTTGATCATTAATTAGGTTGGTCTGCATAAAAATGTAGTCTTCTTAGGAACACCCTCTTCTCCAAACCGGCACTCCGCCATCAAGGAATTGTGATATTTATATCATTTCCACCAGCCTATTACTTGAATCAGGGCTTGGGGGCCTTGAGAGGTGTACTGGGGCAAGGTGCTCTTAGAGGTTTTGAGAGGTGTACTGGGCAGGCTGCTGTGATGTTTTCAGGAAACTATGTACATCACTCTGCCAGTCCCTCCCAACAGCCATGATCTGTCTGCATTATATAGAGAAGAGCATGGGCCTAGCGATGACACCACTGGGTCTAAAATAAAGTGTGCAATTAAAAAGGGAAAGGTTTTCTTTCAAAATCTCTTTAGTGTATTGATGGGAGGGGGGAGAGGAATCAGTAAAGGCAGAATATAAGCAGATAAATCCTGAGGTTTAATTAGATGTATTGATGTATTATTAAACAAAGATCTGTCTAATTATGTATTATTAAATAAAGAACTGCATAACTTGTATCTTTTATATCTGCCTGGTTTTTAGCTTTAAACACTATAAGAATATCACAAGAATATCTTGTACCAAAGATCTGGTTGGTACAAATTGCTTGAATTTTTACCTAGTTTAGTTTTCTTAGCTTCTGTTCACTACTCATAAACTCTACTAGCAGCAGGTCACCATTCTAATAACTGACAACAGGCCCCTATTCAAATATCTATTTTCTTCTTGTATTGCGTTTTCATAAAACAAATTGTTGGCAGTTGATTCCATGCCTATTCATTGGCTGTATTATTATACATGCCTATTCATTGGCTGTATTATTATATATCTTTGAGATTTACAAATATCAGATGCAACTTGGAGTCATAGTTTAAGTGCTGTTTAAGTGCAGACCTATTGAATGTTTCTTGCCTATTCTAAAGTGTTCCAAGTTCTCAGGTTGACAATCTTCAGAATCCCCAGTCCTTGCTGAATTTCTTTTTGATCTTGAATAAAAATATTCATATGGACACATCTTCTGCTTCAACAAGAATAGACTTAGCTGTTGGAGAAAAAGTCTCATAGGCATGATCACAGCCTTTACATTTTATACAGGATTGCTTATTTTCAATATTTGTTGGCTCTTTGGGTTGACACCAGCAGCACAAGCATGACTGAAAGGAAAATAACAAATGAAGACATAATATTATATTCATTGTTGATTATTTTATGTAATTAGCTGTTAATTATATTTCAGAACAGAAAAGTGTTCAAATATTAATATTAGAGTTTAGAAATGTATACTTTTGGTTAATACAGCAAAACATGATATGTAATAAACGTACAGGGAAGACACTAATATTTTAGAGTGTAAATAATAATACACTCAGGAGCAGGGGCGGACTGACCATTTGGAAACTTGGGCACTGCCAGAGGGCCTGGGGTCAGTAGGGGGCCCCATGAGATGCCCCTGGTACCTTTTTCATAGGCTTTTTTGAGTTTGGGCAAGGACACAGGGGCCCCATGATCCCCTATTGCCCGGGGGCCCCAAGAGTTGTCAGTCCACCCCTGCTCAGGAGTATTATAATTTGCATATAAAGCCAATAAATGTTGTCTTGCTTGGATTGGGAAGGGAATGGTTAAGTCTATTACCCAGTTTTCTCTGTCCTGTCAGGGAGATTTTCCTTAAAATAGCAGCAGGAAGTAAGAAGAGATGCTCCAAAGTGAGAATATAACCCCTCTTAGACAGTTGTGTAGGCTAGGTTCACACTGCTGTGATACAATTTTGATCCAACTTTCAGTGTGGTAATATAGTGCTACTTGGGTGCAAAGTTGATGCACATTTTATAAGATTTGTATATTATATGGGCCAAGATCACACTGGAATCTCACCAAAGCAGTACAGGGGCCTTTTCCAAAAATTTCTCCATGCTGAATGGCATTGATGTGAATGAGCACCACTGAAAACACTGTGATTTCCCTTGGCAAGTGATTTTGTGTGACTCAAGTCGCATCTGAAATCGTGCTAGTGTGAACCAGGCCATAAAGCTCACCCATTGGAAGATTTCCCCTCACCTCCTATTCCTGTGAAATCTCTAAAAATGTGCATTTCTCATTATTTCTGTATTGATCAAAATAGTCACCAGAGTCAAAAATGGGAGAAAAATTCTCCAGCAGAAATACAGAAATATAGTGTCTTAGAAGGACAGGAGATTATTTATTTTTTCTAAAGAGACTTCTCATTATTCATCTAGAACCTAGATAGAACAGTATTTACCCTAGTTGTTATGTACGTAGATCCACCAGCAAACATTAAGCTCACCAAAACACGTTACAGTCTAACTATACAATTTTTTGTAGATCTACCAACAGCTCTGTAGTGCAAGGGTCTGTCTGACTGGATACAGATTGGTTGGATAGTTTGGCTAGGTCTTCATCTTATATAGTTATGGTAAATCTGAGGAAGACTGTACATAAATTGTGCAGGTAGATTGTAAGATAGGCTTTAGATAAGATCTCACAATTGTAGTGAAAATGGTTGCAGAAATCACAAGATTTTAAGTCATATCTTATGAACTTCATCTTATACTGAACTTTTAAATTACAATTTATGCAAACTTATTTTTTTACATTTTTCAAAGAACTTCTGGTAATTAAATGAAGTAAAAATTATGTAACATGCAAAGCTATTTAGAATATATACAGCACGTCTGACTTTTTCTTCATTTAGAAAGTAAAATTATGTTCCATACATTTCTGGTCATGTAGCAAGGAAAAAGACCAGCCATCAACAACATCTACTACAGACAGTTATTACAGACAGTTATTACATACAAAGCAATTCTATCCAGCAGTGTAACCTCAGCATTTAGAAACTTGTTCTTAGCTATGGGGATTTAATTTAGAAGTTAGTTATATATATTATATGTCCTATATTAAACATGATGAAGTACAAATTATGTTTAGTAATAATTAAAATTATCAGAATTATACAGTAGGTTCACTAAATACTAACTTATTTTTGAAAAAGCTAGTTCTGTGGCTGTCTCTAATTTTAGTAGTATATGAGATAAAGTCTGCAACAAGCATAATGCAATCATGATGCCAGTAATGTTTAAGTCCAAAATCCTTATCTATTATTTCTGGAGCAGTGATTCAGAAAGCAGGTACACCATAGAATCAGTCACAGGTGACATTTGTAGAAAGATGGGTCATGAATGGCGGGATGCATATTTCTTTCAGCACAGGTTTCCTTTAAAAAGAACTATAGGATGACAACAATGGATGGCTTGTGCTCCATTCTAAAATCTCAAATTTTCTATTAAGCAAAAGGACACACTTCAAGAAATGCATAATTTCAACTAATGAGGGTGGAAACCCAGCAAAAAAAAAAAAAAAAGGATCAGTAAAAGCTCAATCATTGAGCAGGACTAATAAGTATTAAGCACAGCTGTAATAGGATGCAGTAAGCAAAATTTGTCCTTGTATATTTCTAATTTTTAAATGATAAACTTTTGAAGGTCTTAAACATTTGTAGGCTTTTATACAACAAGCCTACTTTATAAGCTGTAAAGTCTAACACAAATAGATATGCAGATGTAGTCAGATACTTTGTGTTAAAAACCTCCATTTTCCTAGTCTAACTTTCACTTCCCTTTTACGACTCAGTACACTCTATAAGGTAAGAGAGAAACCCACCCCTTCTCTTCAATACAATAAGTGTAAGAAGACTTGGGGGTGTGGCTTTTACTCAGCTCTGCCAGTATAGAACACTGTAGGGTAAGAAAAGGAAGTATGATGCACTTCCAATCATAAATCAGTTGCAAACCATAACATTTTGGGGACACAGGACTATAAAGAGAAAAAAGATGCAAGACTTCAATTGGGATTTAAAAGCACTATACTGTATATGCATGTTAGCAAGAATAGTTATTTTGTAAAATCTTACCTTAAAACAATTTTTATATTTTGTGCTTACTAAGTAAAGCACGATTGGATTAATGCAGGAATTAAAGTCAGCCATGTTTATACCAACATAGTTCAATGGTAGCAGAAAGCTGAAATTGGGAAAGAAAATATGTACAGTTTATTGCCATTTTATAATAGATAGCAGACACCATAGTCAAAGGGGTTGATTTACTAAAGGAAAAAGCACTGTGCACTTTGCAAGTACAGTTTCACTCATTTTCTCTAGAGCTTAGTAAATGTGATAAAGCTCATACAATCACATGCAAGCAGAAATTCTTTTTTTCTTTTTCCTGCATATGACTGGGTATTGTTTACAAAGCAAAACTTTTCAACATTTACATTTACTAATAGAAAAAGTGCAACTGCACTTAAAAAGTTTACAGTCTACTTGCCTTTAGTAAAAAAAACCCCAACGTCACATAATAAACTTTTTTTTTTTTATTAATGTAGTTTTCCAGTATAATCCAAGACTACTACTTGGTCATTTGTAGTAAAAACTAGTTTTTACTACAAAGTAATACCTGAATGTTATTTTTGATGTGACTAATTAATCACTTTTGTGCTACTCCATGTTTTAGGAAGATATTTGATACTGTATAAATTTGCAGATTCTCAATTCATTCACTGTCCTTGTGTGTCAGGTCATTTTATTCAACTCTTTCGGTAAATGATCGTTGAGATTATATCAATTACAAGATAAGCCACTTAGGCTTGCTTCATGGAAGACAAAATGTAAGAATGTCCAAAAAATGCTGTTTTTATTAAACCTGTCCTTACATTGCAATGAGGAATAATGCATTGGAATAAGTCTTGCTTGCTGCATTCTGTTTTACTAGTGCTATTTAAGTTTATTTAAAAGGTAGCCCTAAGTAATACGTTTGCCATAAAGAATGATGCTCAGTGGTAGAAGCTGTCCTGTATTTTTGTATAAAGTGCAGTACTAATGCTCAGCATTTAGCAACCCCACCTAATTTGTCATTACACCCTTGCAGATTATGAATATTAAAGTACTAACCATATTTTAACAAAGGGTATATTCGGGCCCTTACCATATTTAACTCAAGTTTCCCCTCACCTCTAGAGCATGTCCCAACAGTCATTTTACCTTGTTCCTATAGCAAGACAATGTTATAATTTCCTGTGATATCTTCATCAGGCATATACAATTCTTGCAGGAGCAGTTCCTGGGAGCTCAGTTCCTATTAGGGCATGTACACCCTCAAAAGTACTTATTCCAAGATACATACTTTTTACAGGTGAAAGTGCACTTTACAGGGGAACTTATCCTTAGCTTATTGAATGAAGCTCTGCTAACTTCCATCATCCAATCATGTGCAAGCAAAAATATGGTTTTCTTTTTATTTTCCTTATGTGTGATTAGGTATTCTCTGCAAAGTGAATAAATGTGATTCTTGTGAGCTACTATGGTGTATATTAATCAATTCCCCCTGATGAAGCCACATGACCCGGTGGCGTAACGCGTAGGGGAGGGGCTTTGACATCATGACGCTTAAAGGCAACCACACAGCAAGTATATTGGATTGTGGCAAACATATTAAGGATCATGCAAAATTGTAGAAAATCGGTTTTTATCTGTATACTATGTGAGTGCACTACATTTATTTAATAATTTTTTTAAAAAGAAGATAAGGCACTATATTCTCTTTTTAATAACATGGTATATATACACATGGAGGAAAAAGTTTCAAAGGAGTCAAGAGACCCCCTAGTGGGAAGAGGGATAACTCTATCCATCTATCCACCTCAAGGAAAAAGATCTCTAGGAAACAGCGAGACCCCTTGTGGGAAAAAGGAAAAACTCCATTCATCCATCCATCCATCCATCTGGAATACAGGGATTTATCCATTTGTCCACCTCTGAGCCCAATTAAAGGGACACAAGCTTGTATGACCTCACTTAACGGTTTAGTCATATACGTCAGGTGAGAGCACAATTGGTGAAGGAGCACATTATATATGAATTGGTGGACTATATTTGTTTTGTAATAGACCATTAGAAGACACCATAGGATCATCACTTTTTGAAGATATGCATGCAGCACTAGCGTGATTGCAATATCACGCCGTGGAAATTTATTGGGACTCAGTCACTGATATTATTTGTTTGCTATTTATTTATTTAATTTACATATATATATATATATATATATATATATATAAAAAATACATATATGTGTAAAATAAATTGTACATAGTGGAGCATGACACCACGGGCTTTGATTCTTTGCAACTTGAATGTGCACTACAGTCACTAAGCTAAGGGAAAATTCCCTTGCAAAGTGTTAAATTTCTCTGCAGAGAAGCATGATTTGCTTTTATCACAGCAACGCCAATGTATTCACGTGGAGAGGGACAGAGAGGATGGAAGATAGATGGATGGTAGTATAGCAGGCAGGGCTGACAATGCTGTGCAGAACAGACACTGCCATGGATTTACCAAAGGCAAATAGACAATTCACTTTGAGCCCTGGTTCACAGTGATGCGGTGTGGATTTTTCAGCGTTTGCTGTGTGAATTCCGCACCGCATCAGAATCGCACCCTGTTTATTTGAACCGTCGCGGGTGTGTATGTTAAGTTAACAGCACCCCGAAAGCGGTCCGAAAAACGCAGTGCAATGTACAGAATCGGATCACATAGGTGTGAATACCCATGCGATCCGATTCTAGTGCGAACCAAA